AAAAAAGTCCATGTGAAGTGGTATCTGTAGACCTATTTTACAAAAACAAACGGAATTAGCACTTGAATGAGATGTGTATGTGGCTTTATCGGTACGACTTGAAGTACCAACAACAATTTTTGCTTTTGTTAATGCTTTCCTAACAGTATGACTCGTACGGTTGATGACTCTTGTTTTGAATTCTAAATACTTCTCTTCGATTGAATTCCTTTCAGTAAAAGATGGTGATCTGAGCAATAGAATTTCCATTTCCATAATCAAAACATACATTAATGATATGTAGGAATAATAAAGAACCTAGTACAACCAAGATTTTACTATCTACCTATATTGCACAAATCGTTTAGTTATAGATTAATTGTCTTCTCTATGTTTAGATTCAACAACAACAAATAAGTAGTATAAACATGATCTACATTTATTTAGACTTAATCAACTATTTAATGCTAATAATGACAAACTATCCTGAGAATAATTCACTTGATCCAAAAATCTTTCACAATAACAAAACTGGCATCAGACTTTTAACCAGATGATCTTGCTATTGAAAAAATTACTGAATACTAACAAATATAGAATAAGCAAGACACCTAACATCGACTTTCTTTGCGACAAACTAAAGGTGATCAAGAAATAAAATTAGAACTCACGACTTACTCATTCTATTAAAACCTGATCATTCTTCTGATTTTCTACTTAATACTCCATTGCTTCCGTTTCATTTTAGTTTTGTTTTCACTTCTTCTTTTACACTTTAACCTTTCCTATCATTTGAGCAGTTTTAATGAAGGCTTCAACTTAAATAAATAAGGCAATACACGTCCGCAAAATAAATTCAGCATTTAATTAATTATTTTAGAAGCACATCTTAAAACAAAATCAATATTATGCATACAACTCGATTACTGAAAAGCAAAAGTTCACACTACTAAATAAAACTTGTCCATTCGCTACAACATAGACTAATTTGTTTCTAATTGATTTTACACCCGCATACATCCTTCAAATACCACCCTTTTATTTCGTCGTGCATCATCAAAATGCTGTGCTCCTTCATCTCCAATTTTGTTTCTAGTGAGATCCAGTGTGGTGAGTGTCTATATGAGAGAGTAGAAATAGTTATGTGAAATAGATCAAGAGTAAATTAATATTACTGTGTTAATTCGTAGTGCATCGCCGAGATATTGTGCTCCCCCATGTCCAATTTTGTTTTTGGTGAGATCCAGTGTGGTGAGTGTCTATATGAGAAAGTAGAAATGATTATGTAGAATACATGACGACTGAACGAATATTACTGTGTTATTTCGTAGTGCATCACCCAAATACCGAGCTCCTTCATCCCCGATAGTGTTCCTCTCGAGATCCAGTGTGGTGAGCGTCTATATGAGAAAGTACAAATAGTTATGTGAAATAGATCAAGAGTGAATAAATGTTACGATGTTAATTCGTAGTGCATCACCGAGATGTTGTGCTCCTTCAGCTCCGATTTCGTTGTCCTGGAGGTTCAGTATGGTGAGTGCCTGCATGAGAAAGTAGAAATGGTTATGTGGAATACATGACGAGTGGACGAATATTACTGTGCTATTTTGTAGTGCATCGGCGAGATATTGTGCTCCTGCATCTCCGATTTCGTTCTCCTGGAGGTTCAGTGTGGTGAGTGTCTATGAGAGAAAGTACAAATAGTTATGTTGAATAGGTGAAGAGTGAATTAGTATTACTGTGTTAATTCGTAGTGCATCATCGAGATATCGAGTTCCTTCATAGTCGATGTCATTGTACGAGAGATCCAGTGTAGTGAGTGTCTATATGAGAAAGGAGAAATAGTTATGTGAAATAGGTGAAGAGTGAATAAGTATTACTGTGTTAATTCGTAGTGCATCACCCAAATATTGAACTCCTTCATCTCCGATTTCGTTGCTGTTGAGGTTGAGTGTTGTGAGTGCCTGCATGAGAAAGTAGAAATGATTATGTAGAATACATGACGACTGAACGAATATTACTGTGTTATTTCGTAGTGCATCACCCAAATACCGAGCTCCTTCATCTCCGATAGTGTTCCTCTCGAGATCCAGTGTGGTGAGTGTCTATGTGAGAGTATAAATAGGTATGTGAGAGTATAAATAGGTATGTGAGATAGGTGAAGAATGAATGAATATTACTGTGTTATTTCGTAGTGCATTTCCGAGATGTCGAGCTCCTTCACCTCTGACTACGTTCGATCCCAGATACAATGTGGTGAGTGTCTATGTGAGAGTATAAATAGTTATGTGAGATAGATGAATAGTGAATCAATATTACTGTGTTATTTTGTAGTGCATCGCCGAGATATTGTGCTCCTTCATCTCCGATTTTGTTTCTAGTGAGGTCCAGTGTGATGAGTGTCTATGAGAGAAAGTACAAATAGTTATATTGAATAGGTGAAGAGTAAATAAATATGAGTGTAGTATTTTGTGGTGCACCACCGAGATGCTGTGCTCCCTCGTCTCTGATATGGGTGTAGGAGAGAGCGAATTTGGTGACTATCCACTTTCGGTTTTTGAAAATAGATATGAGAGGGATTTTGGAATGGAGTTGCTATTACGTAGCGTTCTGCATCGGTATTCTGAGGATATGAATTTGGGATAGTATAGTGTTGTTGTGAATTTTTTACTGACCAAGAAGAACTGAACATTGGAAGTGGTTCTTGCACCAAAAGCCGAAGAATCAGATTCAGTAATATTGCTGGGTTAGGTGGGTACACAATGCATATAGTATTCACATCTCAAACTCATCGTCACCGCCAAATTACAGCAATCCTGTCCCAAGGACAGGTCAATTGAACATATTCAACTTCTTTCAATCTCATAAGTCAAAATCTGACTACATAGTTTCCTTGGTTAAGTCTCTTGACGAACAAGCAAACATAATCATCCTTGCAATGCAGGAAACTACATTTGAACACATCATTTTGAGTTTTTATCTAAGAAGGTTTTTACACAGATTGAAATACTACTTGCACTTGAAAATATTAGAGCCCATCTCGGATACAATTTTTAGATAATCAGTTGCCTCATACCGACTATTCGCAAGCGAATAGAACATATTTCAATGTATATAGTTTTCATCTATTCACAAAACAACCTGCAAATATTTACTTAGATTACCTACGTTGCTGCTTACATTACTTTCAGTGCACGAAATAGCATCTTCATATACTGTAATTTCAATGATTCTCTTCATCCTTACAGTACCACTAAATATTCCATTGGGGACTTTCTTAAAAAACCGACTGCACTACGATCGAAAGGCACGGCTCACCTGTTCATGTACATCTGCCTAACTTCTCGTCAACCTTCACTCACCACCACTTTACTCTAGACTTCACAAAAATCGAACTCCTCTCTGTAACTCTCAAACACGTTTAGTGACGATTTACCTATACCTCTATATGCTTTTAACTTCTTATCGAACGTCACCCTGATACTTCCATCTCTCAAGCACTTATAATCTAGTTTCACTCATATTCACAACTGCACTCATTCATACCTGTTAAGACTTCCACTCAGTATCAAGTAACCAGTATGTGAAAAAACGAAGAAACATGTGAAAGAATATTTGTTGGGACACCAATTTGAGACTTAACCCTCTTATAAGTAGAGGACATATTGATTGATAGATTAGTCTATCTCGCGATAAGTTAATTGCCTACTGTTTTTATCAGGTTTACAGAGCGTAAGGATGAACATTAGCCGGGTATAATAAGAAAAAGCCTTACCTGATATCGATCGTAGGTGTTAATGATTTGGTTGAGTCGCTGACACACATTTCGCATAGAGCACAACAGAGTGAAATCACTCTGATGGTCCAAAATTCGGTAGACAAGTTCTACCGGTAATGTAACGAAGCTTGACATGATTTTGTTTGTCTCCGATAGAAACTGTTGAAATGTGTGGTGTGTTGTTGCTTTTATTTCTTCTCTTGAAATGCGTATTTACTTTACGAGCGTCGTATTTTTCTGTTGATGGTGCAACCACGCGTTCGAAGAAAAAAAATCGACGACAAAATGTTCGGTTATGTTCCTCTTCGCCAAAACATATTAAGGGTGTGGGTGTGGATATGCTATCCATCTTTCACACACCCAACATTCACTAGACAGTATTGTGATGATGTCCCAAATATCATCAATAGAAACTGAAAGTCCTACTGAAAATAATTTTATAACAATCCAACGTTTACCATTGTTACCGTAGGAACAAATAACTAATGAATGCAGATTTCTTTTCGTTTCTAACGTGACAAAGACGGTAAAGGTTGTATGTTGTATTGCGCTACAAAACGAGCATGCATTAGTATCCAATGAGTTGAATCAACAAACAGTAAAATAACATTAAGGAATTGAAAACTTTGCATGTTTTTTTTTTCTTTTTTCAATACGCTGTGCATCGCTTCCATAGTTATGCACATAGATGAGCAAACAAATAAGTTTACTGTAATGTAAGGGAATATTGTATGTACACAGTAGCATTTATTTTTCGTTAAACTATGTGAAGACAGAACAGAAAAAGTTCTATTTCACATCGACTGCGGCACAGATTGAAAAAATCTTATTGTATAAAAGTGATAATAATCAATCATCAAGTTTTACGAACTTTAGAAAAATTACAAAATAAAAGTATCTTAGTAGTATATAACTGCCTTGATATTAATTTATTAAGATCTTGTCTTATTTATGAAGGAAAACATAAAGAATGTTAAGTCTATTTCGTCTTGAGGGTGTGGGTGTGAGTTCTGTGTTTTAAATAATATTTGTCTGAGTAGTAAAGATAATGATCGTTTCTTGTTACTTTTGTTGATCGTGTCTCAAATAATTCATAATCTTGAGGATGGGTGCGTGTTGGTGTGGGTATGAATGTTTAACCTTTATCCACACACCCACACCCTCAAATTACAAATATCAAGCTATAGGTAATAATAGAAATCTAAATACAATGAATAAAGCAATAGTTCAATAAATCCTTATTTCATCTCGTTTTTCTTGTTGCTCTGGAACTTTTTGATGATTGAGCAGTATTATGATCTTTAGCTGCCAATGCTAATATATAGATTGCATCAGGTATTTCTTTAGAAAATATTTCTAAATCATATTTATTCGTCCAAATTAATGAAATCCAACGTCGATGAAATTGTGCTAATATAGTTTCTTGATTTTGATAATGAAATTTTGTTGTCAATGAAAAAATTTTTGTTTCCATAACAATACTTTGTCCATTCCATTCGATAGTATATTGATCACCAAAGAATTGAAAATGTCTTCGAATTCGACCATTAATCCATTGATTTGATGAAGAATCAAAAATTGAAATATTTGCGTTATATAACAAAGCCAACCATTGCATATGAAGTTTTGCAATTATTTGATTCGATGGATATGAAACTAATTCAATGATTTGCCAAAGAGCAATTTGTGATTGAATTCGATATTGTAATTGTTGTTCATTGGAATCGTAGACGGAAAACTGACCGGCTTTCAATATAGTAAAGAAATCTTTAGTGATCACATAATTTCCAGTAACATTCTGAGATCGAGCAAATATATTAAACAAGATTAAGAGAAGTAGAGTACAGAGAGATGCTTGAATGAATATTTTGCGAGGAGTTTGGTTACGAAACATTATATAATTATTAAAAAAGAAAGAATCGATTTTAGACAGCGGACGTATTTATTTTTATTGCCAACACACCACTGATTATTCATTCATGACGGCATGTTTATAAGGCAACATCGTTGGTTACTCATTTTGCTGCTTGTCACATGTAATTATTCATGTTAGCAAAAATGTATGTTTTCTTGTTCTATAACACACCAATAAAATATATGAAAAAACTGACATAAAGCGACAAAAAATAATAATTCGCGTATGGGTAAAATATCAGTAAAATAAATATTTACATGCATTTTCATAACTCACTCTCAAGATATTATTATCGGGTGTGTTAGGTAACTTATTCTTTCTTTGACTTTGTGACTACGGACTCTGACGAGATACAAAATGAGTTTGGTATTTGAGACATGCTTTTTCTAGTGTTCGATCCAAAAAAAAGGATTGTGCAATAATAGTACATGATAGTCTTACTCACTTTCTTCAGATGGGACAGAATAAAAAAAACGAAAATAAATATGCATAGTTTATATAAACATGAAAAAAGTGATGTTTCCTGTCATAATCATATTGCTACAAGTTTCAAAGTTAGAGTATTTACCAGACGAATTACAGATTATTTTATTGAAATATCTCAGCTTCTACGATCGTTATCTCGGTTTTTTTGGAATCAATCGTCGATTTGATTTACTGGTTAAACATCTGAAACCGACCAAATTTTAAATAAATGTTCGCTGTTCTTTTAATTTAATTTGAGATAATTTTATATATGTAGATACTTATTACCACTTAATGAGATCTCTAATCAGATCGGAACCGGTTGTGGTAGATCTTTTGTTTACACTTATACCCGCAGTTCCCTCATCTTAGCAATCAGAAAGGAGGCAAACCTAATTCTTTTACTACGACCGGGTGTGAGTGTGGATCAGAAGAATAGACTCACCCACGCCCATCTTGAATTGATTACACATTTGCAACTACAACTAGTCCATAAACTGATATTGAGTTGATCAATTAGAAATGAATTTACATTGTTCGGAATGAACGAAAAAGTTAAGAACAGAATTTTTAATACTAATTTCATTTTGAGGCTGCAATTTTAGAACATATTACATTATATATATATGAGTGAATTGCAACTTTTTGGTACAACTGGTGCGAAAAACTGAAAGTAGACCTAGACAATTTCTGATCAGTGCATTTTGTTATACTCTATGCCTGTGCTACACAGTAAAAATTTCCCAACACTTTACCGCATATTAACTGAGATACGACTTACTCAATGTAAATGTACCATAAAAAGCGTTATTTTATTGAAAAACGTCACTCTACATTTTTCAGTATAATGTAAATTTCTCGAGAAGGGTACGAGATCCAAGGCTGAAATTTGTACCACTAATAGAACTTTTTGTTTTATATATTCTCTAAAAATTTGAGCTAAATCGGACGACCCGTTCGAGAGTTATGAATCAGACAATTTTCAAATTGTCACTCTACAAAGTGAGTAAATATCTTTTTTTTTTCGAAAGTTCGTTTTTTTTTGTTTGAAATAAACTTGATAAGAGAGAACCTTTTTACATCAGTTTTCTAGTTAAAGTGTTGGCTTTCTTTTTATATCATCCGCGCGCTGCCACCTCTATCATAGGCTGAGCTAGAACTGTGTTTGTGTCACTCTACATAAAAACGAACAAGTGTCTGTTAAACAATGTGACCAGTAGATGAACGAACTAATGAAAATTCAGACTAAAATTAGTTACATATTTCGATAGAGCGTCAAAAACTGTACAAAATAGGTTAATTATCTCCTTTTCCTCTTGCCTCTTTATAGTCGAAAAATTTCCTTTTCTTAGCATATGTCATGAAAAAATGACATTTTTTTATCATAAATTTTTTATAACTCAGCAATAACATGAGCTACTGAGCTGAAATTTTGCACGGCAGTGAGGTGTTCCAAGCACTATAACATATCAAAAAATCGTTGAAATCGGCTGGCGCAAACTGGAGTTATTAGCGAAATACATCAAAAATTTAATTGTACCAAAAAGTTGCAATTCACTCATATACACTTTACTTCTTGATGAATATTGAGATCATAAGATATTTGTTATTTTTATTATTCATTTCATTTATGTAAGTATCTCTATCATTATCTGAAGTATTTGCATGATATTCGTTTTTAAGATTGTAATGAGTTTTCCCCGATATAGTAACAATCATGCCTCTGTATTCTTATCATGCGCCAACAAAAAGAACTAGAATAATCACGAAAATAAATATGTATTTCATTTTTATAATTGAAAAACAAACAGTTGTATAACAGTATCACATGTTATTATCATAGATGTCATAATACCATTACCCCGGGTATCGACAGTCAGACGGCAGGATATCCTAACATGAGGTCAACGAAAGTAAATTAACATTCACTCCACATATTATACCAAGGAGTAATGACTTCATTACCCCACTAAAAAATACATTCATTATACAAGTTGAGGAATATGAGTGGATTTGGGGTAACGAGGTGGTTACACCAAATCAACTCATATTCCTCTGCTTTTCACATATACTTCATTTGGGTAACGAGGTGGTTACACAAAATCAACTCATATTCCTCAGCTTTTTCACATATACATCGTTGGGGTAACGAGGTGGTTACACCAAATCAACTCATATTCCTCAGCTTTTTCACATATACTTCATTTGGGTAACGAGGTGGTTGCACGATACCCTTAGCGGGGTAACTTTGGAAGCGACGTGTTTGTAGTAGAATACCCGGTGTAATGGGATTATGACATCACTCGTTATTATACTCTCATGAGTAATATTTTTGAAATATCATACTGGTCACACTCTATTTGATATGTTCTGTTCCTTCTTTTTCTTAATTAATTCGTGTGAAAAATGATTAAGTCACTTGGAAATCAAACATAAATATCATCAATACTTCTTATACTATATATAAACGGCCTATGCGACCATTGACTCTTCCAAAACAACGCTTAGCATACTCTGTGGATTTGCGGCAATGGATGCCACCTATTGATAATCAACATGATATGAAAACTTGGCATAGAATTTATTTATTTAATTGTAGTTGTGCTAGTGCATTTGCAGGACTTTGTAATTATTTATTTAAACGTTCAATGGATTGTCAAAGTAGTATATCTCGTTTATTTATTTATTATAGTGATCAAATGATTCAACAACGTACATTAGAAGTGGAAGATAGAGGAGTTTTTCTAAAGAATATTGATCATATGAAAAATATTTATTAAATGAATTACCACCAGATTCAGTATATGAACGTGCAAGTCGCTATGCTGTTATCCCACTTCATATGATATGTGATATAAATGCTATTGAAATATATTTACATAATCAGAATTACCAGTTCTTATTGGTATTAGATTAATTCAACAAAATATTCAACATAATGGTAGTTATTTACAGGTTCCTACTGATCTAAACGATCCATTAATTAAAAAAACTGGTATACATGGTATTATGATTGTTGGATACAATAAAAAACACAATATTTTACTTGTAGAAACTCTTGGGGATGAAACTGGGTAAAACGAAAAAAAATAAACATCTTCTTTTTGTCTTTATAATTTTAGAGATATTATGGTTATTTTTATCTACCATATGATTATCTAACTCATCCTTATCTTATTGACAATAAAGGTGGTTTATGGTCGATTAGTATTATCTTAAAATAAATTTGGCGATATTAGTTAAAGATTATTTTCACTTTTTTTTCTTCATACAATTAATTACATTAATGTTATTAATAATAAAAAATTTCGAAAATCAAATTAATACTATTGTTAGCTTGAGAGTGTAGGTGGGATAATGTTTTGGATGGACATTGACAGTCTTACCATGCATCCATTTTGAGGGTGTCGATATGAATATTATGCTCTTCATAGGTCAGACTCATAATCATCCCTACATATCATGTTGCAAGTGTTTCTGTGTATTTTCAATGCATATTGAATAGTGACAAATTTTGATGAATTTTTGTTGACTTTTTCGTGATCTTCAAATGAAAATTGTATGTTACTTTTTTTTCTCATTTTATGATCGGTATTACATTTCATGTTAAAATATAACCTTTTTTCATTGCTTTTATGTAATTGATTGTATTTATTTTCAAAAGGTCTTCATCGTCTTTTTAGTAAATCATATGTAATAGATACCTATCATAAAGTAGAAAAAAAGCGAGACATACCAATTTCAAAAGTAAAAAAGAAAGAAAAAGAAGGACTGTATATAAGAAGATGATTACCATTTAGTCTTTCATTGTTTTTCAAAACAAAAACGACATACTAATATGCAGTCGAAGGTAAAGAAACTATTTTGTACAAGTCAAGTTAAAAATTTTAGAATATTTAACGAATATGTAAAGTAATCCCGAAAAGAAAAATCTGGAAAAAATAAACCCTAAAAATCAAAATTTGGAAAAGAAATAAATTATCTCGAAAGATTTTGTGGTGTGGGTGAGGGTGAGAGTGTGGAAGAAGAGTAGTCTATACCTATACACCCACATCTACGTTCACTCTCATCCATCCACATCCATACTCTCACCTTTACCCGCACCACATCCACACTCTGAAAACCCACTTCTACAACAGCGACATCGATCGTACCGAGCTTCTCGGAAGATTCTCACTTCTGATGGCTTCCAAGAAATAAGCTCATCAGATTGTCTCTAATATTTCTACACCTTTTACCCCTTTGAGACCCACAATTTAATCTATGGACGAAACCTCTTAAAAACTTGATATTTAGTATGAGCATTGAGTATTATTGACACTTCCATTGATATTTTAAAAAAATATTTTAAGTCATTTTTAACTTTTAGCCGTACCCCCTACGGGAATGATGAGAAATATTTTAGCCACTTCCTTGGAGGTGTACGAACGGGAGCCTAAAAACTGACTCAATAGGGTTTTTAATCTCCCACAAATATGTCTTAACTACGAACATTTGTTAAATATATTCGAAATTTTTTGAACACTAGAATTTTTCGCTAGGTGGGACATATATGTCCCACTGAGACTCAAAGGGTTACTTGTTATATCTTCTATCCTTAATAAACTTCTAGTAAAGTTTTTCCAGATTTTTTCTTTTCCGGATCTTCTACTCCAGATTTTTTTTCCAGATGACTTGACATCGCCGTATTTATTATCAAATCTTTTCTTTCCTTTGATTATTCAGATAAATATTTTCTTGTGTTATCACAAAGTTTCGACCATGAATCTATCAACAGTTCTTATCCTTTTCTACTTTGGTTCGTTATGTATTTACTTTCTTATCCATTCTTTTCCATGGATAATTATCTGTATAATATCTCTTGGGAGAAAGAAAAAAATAAGATACAATTATCTGACCACATTTTAATGTCAATAGTAAGTATTTTTCTTATCTCTACATGATTTTAGATTATTCTTTTCTTTAATGAATTGACAATGTTATTTCCAAAATAATGGAAATGACTCCAGTTCTTGAAACTCCTAATGAATCTATTAAAAAAAGCAATGTTAATCATCTTGAAGGCTTTAGTCTTATTTGGCTTAATAACAATGAAAATGATGTTGACATTCAAAGTGAATTACGTAATATAATTAATCATATTGAAACATTTGATGATGTTGAAGAATGTAAAAATTATATTGAAAATACATCAGAAAATGATCGATTAGTTCTTGTTACTAATGGTGAATTCGGTCGACAAATTGTTCCTTCAATTCATCAATTAAAACAAATTTCATCAATTTATATCAATTCAGAAGATAAACAATGGACAAATGATTTTCCCACGGTAAACAAAAAAGTATTAATAAAGTTTAATTTCATTAATTATTTTTCTAGATAAAAGGTATCCATGCTAAAATGGATGAACTGGTTTCACAAATTCATAAAGATCATAAAAATCCTCGGAAAATAGAAGAACCTGTATGGGTGAATATGTTTACAACAATAAGTGATACAGGAAAATCAACAACAGGAATCAATGGTCAATTTGCATTTTCTCAATTATTACTTGATTGTCTTCTTCGATTAAAATCAAATGAAAATGATCGAAATGAATTAATTTCATATTGTGAAAAAGAATATGAAGGAAATCAAAATGAATTAAATCATCTTGATGAATTTCAGAGAAGTTATTCACCGGATAATGTTTTATGGTGGTATACACGTGAATCTTTCTTTTATAAAACATTAAATGCGGCTTTAAGAAAACAAAATATTCATATGATTTATTTATATCGTTCATTTATTATTGATATACAAAATCAATTAAAAAATCATCAATGCCAATGTTCCACTCGTGTTTATCGATGTCAATTAATGTCAATTGATGAATTAAATTATCTTAAAAATAGTGTTGGACAATATGTTTCGGTAAATTCATTTCTTTCGGCGAGTTTACAAAAAGAAATTGCAATTTTTTTACTCGGTGATACAAATCATCAATGGATCGGTCTTGAGAAGGTTTTATTCGAAATGGATGCTGATCCAAAAGTTGTTACAACAAAACCATTTGCTGATATTAGTCAATTTAGTGATTTTATTGATGAATTAGAAGTTCTTTTTATGCTTGGATCGATATTTCGTTTGAATTCAATTATTCGTGATGATGAAAATCAAATTTGGATTATTCAAATGTGTTTATGTAGTGATGATGAACATAATTTAAAACAAATTCTTATGGATATGAAAAATGAAATTGGAGATGGTGAAACAAATCTTTGTATTTTAGGAACAGTTGTACGAAGAATGGGACATTTCGATTTAGCGAAGAAATATTATTATCGCTGTTTAGATGAACTTTCACAAAATGATCCTTTACTACTTACTGTTTATAAAGATTTGGCTGAAATTGCTTCTCAACAAAAAGATTATGAAGAATATCTTCGATTGAGACACATTTTAGTGAAAATCAAAGAGGAAATACAATTAAATGATAATGAGATTGAGACTAGTGAAATAAATAAATTAACCGACAATGGTAAAATAAACATGTTCATTTTTTCAGATTTCCATACATAGTCTTAATCTGTTTTAGACACAATACAAAAACGAAAATCAAAAAATTATATTCGATGTAATAGGCATCTAAAATTATTGATATATAGCTGTATTCTTATTTTGATGATTGGAACTGGAATATTTACATTACGATATATAATTACAAAAAAACCACCAATATCTCCAAAAGAACAGAGTAAGTCATTTTGATATAATTGATAAATCGTTGTTTTTTCAATTTTATCAATCAATGAATGAATAATAAATTTTCCTAAAAAAAAAGAAGAATTCAATAAGGGGTGGGTGTAGGTGTGAGAGTCTCTTAGCTCACATCGCCACCCACATCCGCCCCACACTACACATCCATACCCTCAAGATTCTGAAGGAGCTCTATGGGCACATTCAGATTTTTCTTTGTTTTTTGTTACAATGTTTGTTTAAAAGTTTGCGTGTGTTTATCTTTGATCATAACTTACTTGCGCTATGTTGGCGGTAATGCTTTATGATTGTTATTGAACGGAGTAGTGACGTTCACTCAACATTTTGGTAATGAAAGATGTTTGAAAGACATTGTTGTTGACATGGTTCATCGTAAGTCAGAACACTGCATACACACACTGTATATTACCAACCGGTCTCTAATGATTCCTATTGAATGCATGTATAATTGGAAAATTCATCCTTGGTCGTAGACATCAGTTTTTCAAGCACTGGATCATTAACTCAAAATAGTAGATCTAGAGGAATCAATTTCTTCACAACAAGTTCTCGAATGTTTTTTTCATATGTTTGTATTATTTTATGAAATCAGAATCAACGATAACGTCAACCAAATCATCATCACGACCGCCACCAAGAATGAGAACAGCCAAAAGAACAACTACAACGATAGCGGCATCGACATCACCACTACTACTACTATCAACAGCAACTACAACGATAGCGACATCGACATCACCACTACTACTACCAACAGCAACTACAACTACAACAACAACCACACCACTACCAGCCGCAACGATAACAACAACCACATCACTACCAACCGCAACTACAATAACAACCATACCACTACCAACCGCAACTACAACAACAACAACAACCACACCATTACCAATCGCAACTACAACAGCAACAAAAATAAAAATAAAAACCACACCACTTCCACCGACAAAAACAACAGAAATAACCACACCAGCAACAAAAACTACAGCCAAAACAACAACAATGCTAACCGGTAAGTAGCAAGCTAAATAATTCATCTATTTTTTAGCTGTCAGAAAGAGAATTCGTTTCACATCATCTACTATAAAATGTGGGTGCGAATGAGCGTGGGGTGTGGGTGTGGCTATAGATATGAGTGTGAGTGTGAGTGGGTGTGAGTTTGAGTATGAGTGTGGATATACAATCATCCCACATCCTAACCCACACTCACACCCACACTCACACCACATTCACTCCCATATTCACACTCACTTACAGCCACAGCCACCCAACCTTTCATTTGATGAAATCAGATTTATTCTAAAATATTAATTATTTTGATGATTTAAAAGTCAAATTGACAATGTTTCGTAAATGAATTATTTTAAAATGTGTTTATTTTATTTTTAAAACAATTTTTCTTATTTTAAATAAACGGAACATTTAACGAACAATATGTATTCAAATAATTATTAATAGTCAAATAAATAGACTTATTTGCAATTTTTCTTTGAAGAGAAATCACTAAAATTATTTTTGAATTTTTTATTTTTTCAGAAAAATATTTGTTTGAAGAGATAAATTATTTCGAGGAGATTTTTATCTGAAACTTTTCTTTTTAGCACTTTCATTTAATCAACCAAAGTTTTGTCCAATACCAGATTGGAATCCTTTTGGAATCACTTTTACTAATAAAACAACACTTGGGAAGTATTGTCGCAACCTTTTTATCAATACAAACAACACAGTTTATACAGTTGATCGGGATGAGAAACAAATCTTAATGTGGATTAACAATAGTATCAATCCAAACAAAATTATATCTGCCAATTTCTTTGATTCAAAATCCATCTTCGTTACAAATAATGGTAATATTTATTATGATGACGGTATGATAAATGGTCGAGTTGATAAAAAGATATCAAATACAAATACTTTTGTTAATGTCATGGATGTTGATTCACCATGTTATGGTCTCTTTATCGATATTAATGATACTTTATACTGTTCAATGTTTCTGCGTGATAAGATTATCAAAAGATGGTTAGATGATAGTGAATTGATATCAACGACTGCAGCTGGAACAGGTAGAAGTGGTTTTGCTTCGAATGAACTTCATGGTCCTATGGGGATCTTTGTTGATTTAAACTTTGATTTATATGTAGCAGATTGTTATAATCATCGAATTCAACTATTTAAACATGGAGAATTAAATGGAACAACAATAGTTGGAAAAGGATCACCAAATAACATTATTTCACTCTATCATCCAACTGGAATTGTATTAGATGCTGATAAATATCTTTTTATAGTCGATTACGGCAATCATCGTATAATTAGATCAGGATCAAATGATATTCGATGTATAATTGGATGTGATAGAAAAGGATCACAATCTCATCAATTATCATCTCCAACAAGTCTTAGTTTCGATAGTTATGGAAACATATTTATTACTGATAGCTCCAATCATCGTATTCAAAAATTTGATTTCTTATTGAGTTCTTGTGGTAAGTTTAAAATAATTGGATAAGAGAAAAAATCATTTAAAAATCTAATTTTCTTTCTAAAGTAATGTTAACGAGAATATCCTTCTTCGTCTTTTTTGTTTTGTTAAATGAAAATTATATTTGAGATTTTCAAATTGAATGAATTTTTTTACTTAAAAATCATTTGAGATTTCGTTGAAAAAAATTAAATGAACTTTTCTTGACGAAATAAATAATTTAAATCAAAAAAAGAAATCTCTTTTTCATTGAATTATGATAGAAATGAAGAGATACACTTATTCACTCGTTCAATTCAACGAAAAGTAATAAAAAATTTCATTTTCAGACAATTGTTTATCTTTGAAATGTTCAAATAAAAATGAAAGTTAGCTGTGGAAGTTTTGATATATTCAAAGATATTTTCAGTTAAGATCAAAAACAATTATTTCTTTAAATCTTTTTTAATTCTTTTTTATTTCTTCACAAAAGAAAATTTTTTCAGATATTTTTATCGATTTCTCATGAGACAAAACGTTTTTTGAATAGAATTCGGATTGTTCTTTTACTGAAATATTATTTCAGATAAAATGAAGTCTTTTATTCTTTCGAGATATTCATTGTTTTCTCATCAAAAATATTGAAGATTTTTAAATAATTTTTAAGAAGAAAAATGCTGAACAAATGTTTCTTTAATTATATCAGAAAATCAAATATATTGTGTGATGATGAGATCAATCGAAGTTGTTTATTCAATTTTAGCATAATACCATTACTCGAACATATTTTCTCTTGATTTTATCAAATTTGTACTGCTTAGACATTATATTATATTTTAATATGAGACAAAGAGAAAATACATCCGATAGTCTTGATTATAGGTGATATTAAAAAATCACATATTCTCTTTTGTTTCACTAATAAAAGCAGTAGACGAATAATAATTATTATTTACACACAAAACTGTTATACAAGGGACATGTATGAAAAGAAAGAGAATATTGAACACCATTGAACTTTATTTAATGTCCCACAAATTTTGATTGATTTCTTTTTGTTGAATAGACAATTCATCAAGTGTTCAATCTGTGTATTCGTCAAGGTTAACAGGAAAACATTCAACATATTCTCCTACTGGTTGTGATCTTTCAAACTATTATTATGAAGCTATACAAATGAATGTCAGTGAAAGTCGCTATTATAGTCTTAGTATCAATAGCAATATCGATATATATGGCTACATTTATACAGACAATTTTTATCCATCCGCTCCATCTATAAACTTAATTCTGGAAAGTGATAACAGTTTCGGTAAACACCGGTCCACGATCAGAGCTTTTCTTCAGTCTAACATTACAAATATACTGGTTGTGACAACATCTAGTCCAAACGTAACAGGAAAATTCTCAATTATTGTGTCTGGTATCAATAATGTCACTTTCAAACGTCTAAGTGAGTATCCAGACTATTTCTGGACAAAAGTACAGAAGTACGAAGCATAGCATACGTACGTATACTCAATTTCCATTCTCTACTCTTCACAAATCGTGAAAAAAAAGTTCCTTATTGGATAGAGAATAATATCTGCAACGATCGTTGTTTTAAAATAGAATTCTTACATGATGAACATCCTTTTTCGCAGAAATACTCGAACAAAAAGAAGAGAACGGAGAATGTAGTTATGAGAACTGGTTTACAGCAACTTCTGGATATTTTATTCTTTGCCGACAACTTTTAAAGTATTGAGATTATGTGGATCTCAATAAATAATAAGAATGTTATCAAAGATTCATCGTTGTTGTTTACTATTGCATCTAAAAAAGTGAAAATACAACTAATGCTGATAGTTAGAGTTCTTCATCCGTCTGGTAGAAGGAGCTGGTGTGAGTGAGTTAAAATTGATTTGCATATATAGTATTGCAATACTATCTCGAGCTGTTGATATCATCCGGAATAAAATAAAGTTGCACAAATTATTAACGATCGTTTGTCTCATATCATCGGTACATTCGTGAAATTACTATAATGTAATAAATATCAGTTGTCATAACTCTCTAATATGTTGTTAGTTAATATGTATGCGAAACTGAAGTGATTAAGTATGAGAATTCTTAGTCAAATCAAGTTTCTGTCTAATGTTGCAAATAGTGATACTTGTAGGGAAGAAATCAAGTATAAATGACCGTTATCGGACAGCATTCAACAGTGTGAAGTAGTTGAAAAACAGATATTCTTCTTCTTTTTCTTTGGTTCCGTAGTAGGTGATGCTTGTCCGAAAAATAAAAGGTCTTATGTAATAAATAAAAATCAAGTAAATTCGACATTTTTCTTTAGTATCAGATTTCATCTTTGATGTTGAGACAAACGAAAATACTTGAAATACAATCGAAGTGACACTTTCTTCATGATTTTGATGTTATGAAATATTTTACAGTTGGCGAGATAAATTCTTTCAAAAATCAAAATATGGATTCAGCTGACTTGTATGGAAACGTTCTAGAAATCATAAACAGAATTTTGTTTTTAGTACTTTTAGAAATCGATACATGAGAAGAACATCAAATCGATTCTATTGTATAACGTCCAACGAAAAAAAGTCGAAAGCGTTATAAAGTTGAAAAAAAAATGTCGAAAAAGAAAAACATCAAAAGCTAGAAATATCAAAATTAAAAAAAACATTGAACAGTAAAATGTAGAAAAAAAAAGAAATCCGAAAGGAGTTTGGGGGTGTGGATTTGGCTATATTGATGTGGGTATGGGTGTCAGATGAATATCATATTCACTCACACCCACACCCACACCCACCCACCACACCCACACTCACACCCACACCCTCACCCTCACCCTCAAAATCGAAACAGTATAATCAACTTTCTCTGTCGAAATGATTTCTTTCTAACGTTTTCTCGCTGAACGTATTAGATAGATCTTTGTCATTAAATCTTCACTCTGTAGATATATATTTGAAAGAAATACGACATTAGAAAAGTATTTAAACTCACCTATATATGCTATGAATAAAATACTGATTGATTTGTTTTTTTTTGACTAGATACTTTATCAGTTGTCCAATCTATTTATTCATCAGCACTAACGGCAAATAATCAAAGATATGATCGAGATTCTTATGGCAAATCAAATAATTACTATGAAACTATACAAATCGACGTGCCCACAGATGGATTCTATACGATTACAAGTAACAGTAGTATCGGTACATACGGATATCTCTACAATGACAGTTTCGATCCATTTAATCCATCTGTAAATTTAATCTCAAAGGATTATTACGGGTGCTCATTTGGACGCTTTCGATTCGAAGTCAATCTTCTAGTCAATGTTAAATACATATTGATTGTGACAACACTTAATCCATATAGGACAGGTGCGTTCCCAATCATTGTGTCTGGATTAGCCAACACTAGTATCAAACGTATTAGTGAGTATTCATAATTTTTCGTTATAGTTAGCACCAGTCATATTTCCCATTATTTTCGAAGACGGAAAAGGAAGTGAAATTGGCAAAAAGCTCAAACTTTTGCTATAAAGTGTCTTTCTATGATCATTTGATGGGTGCCAAACAAAGAACACTTAAACTTTGTACATGCTACAAGATTTGAATAACAAAGAGTGTTTTCATTATGTATTCTCTCAGATAAATAGTGATAAGAACTCAAAAGCCAGATTTCTACCTCAGTTTATCATGAACTTGTAAGTTTTAGCAAGAAGTTACTTAAATTTTGACAAAACTCAGATGTCTTTTCAAATCTGCAGCATGAATTGATTCTCTGCAGCCTCTCTTATCTCAAAAGCTCGATTAGTACATAGGTCTGAAACCAAAGGAGAACGGATGAACTCAGTGTCTTTTCTACATTTTCATATTGTTATGGAGATGTTCTGAGAAGCTAGAGAATAATGTTCGAGAAGATCTTTGCGTAATGGTTCGACATTGATACTATTAGCTTGATGCAAATTCAAAAATGATCAGAAATCTATTTGCAAAAAACATCAATTATGAAAAAGAAAATTTCTGTGACTGTTTTTGATGCAGTTGGTCACAATATCTCGTTATTCATTTACTTAATTTTTCGATGTTTTTTCAAACTGTTGAGCATTTACTTCGAATTAGAACTCTTTATCATTGAACTTCGAGAGGTAATCGATTATTTCGCTCAATGACATATCTACAGCTCTCCGAATTCTCATAACATTGAGTTCATCGGAAGTAATATTTAACTGTGCGGTATTTCGAATATATTTTCATCATTTTGTGTATATATATATTTGTTGTTGTTGGTGAGGATGTATTAAGTTAGTAAGGATAGAAAATATAGAAACATCGATACAATAACATTTATTATCAACTCTTTGGATTCCGAATGTCATCATCTTAGACGACGTGGGTGTAGGTGTGTGTGTCGGTATGGGAATGTGGATAGGATGCATCCAAAGCCACACTTATACTCACATCCTTCACCCCACATTATCAGCCTCACGCACACTCACACTCACCCTCGATTATAGGTAATGGTGAAGAATTAGTGGCCTGTTTTGTTTCATCAGTAGAAGCAATATGCAAATAGCAATGATTCTATGCAGATGACACAGTCGCGCACTAGGGTCTTTTTTGAAAAAAAAGAAAATATTAAAAACAGTTGAAATTTATTTAATGTTTTACAAATTTTGATTGATTTGTTTTTGTTGGATAGATACTTCATCCATTATTCAATCAGTATATTCATCCGTATTAACAGAAAAACATCCAACATATTCTCCTACTAGTTGTGGTCTTTCACACTACTGTTATGAAGCTATACAAATGAATGTCAATGAAAGTGACTATTATACTCTTAATATCAACAGCAGTGTTAATATATATGGCTACATATACACAGAGAATTTCGATCCACTTAATCCATCTACAAATTTAATTCTGGCGAATAAGAACAATTTCGGTGAATCTCAGTTCGAATTCAGAGCTTTTCTTCGATCCACCACTGCAAATATATTGGTTGTGACAACAGCTAGTCCAAACGCAACAGGAAAATTCTCAGTTACTGTGTCTGGCAACAATATTGTCACTTTTAAACGTCTAAGTGAGTATCCAGACGATTTCTAAACATCAGTGCAGAAGTACGAAGCATAGCATACGTACGTATACTCAATTTCCATTCTCTAGTCTTCACAAATCGTGAAAAAAAAGTTCCTTATTGGATAGAGAATAATATTTGCAAAGATCGTTGTTTTAAAATAGAATTCTTACATGATAAGTATCCTTTTTGACAGAAGTACTCAAACAAAAAGAAGATGTGAACGGAAAAACGTAATTAGCAGAACTACATTACAGCAACTGATCGATATTTCATTCTTTGTCGAAAACTTTTAACATACTGAGAATAGATGAATGTTAATAAGTAACAATTATGTTATCATAGATTCACAGTTATTGTTCCCTATCATATCTATAAAAGAGGAAATGCAACTAGTGCTGATGGTTAGAGCTGCTCGTTCGTCTGGTAGAAGGAGCTGGTGTGAGTGAGTTAAAATTGATCGGCATGTACTGTTGTAATACTATCCTTGGGTGCTGATATTATCAACTATAAAAAAATGTTGAACAGATTATTAACGATCGTTTGTCTCATATCATCGATACATTCGTATAATGATTATAATGTAGCAAAAATCAGTTGTCGTACCTCTCTAATATGTTCTTAGCTAATATGTATCCGAAACTAAAGTGATTAAGTATGAGAGTCCCTCGTGAGATCAGTCTTCTGTCTAATGTTGCAAATAGTGATAGTTGTGGAAAAGGAACCAGGTCCCAGCAACTGTCATCGGATAGCATTCAACGTTGTAAAGTAGTTGAAAAACAGATATTCTTCTTCTTTTTCTTTGGTTCCGTAGTAGGTGATGCTTGTCCGAAAAATAAAAGGTCTTATGTAATAAATAAAAATCAAGTAAATTCGACATTTTTCTTTAGTATCAGATTCGACCTTTGATATTGAGAAGAACAAAAAAGGTACTTTTTCAATGATTTTGATGCTATGAAATATTCTACAGTTGACAAGACAAATTCTTTTATAAAATAAAATGAGAACTCAACTGACTTCTATGCAAATAATCAAGAGATCATAAACAAATTTCGGTTTTCATTACTTTTCGAAAGCGATATTTGAGAACACATCAAATCATTACGTTAAACGATTGATCTCATTGAGAAGAATGAAAGTTATTTTTCGTGCTTCTATCCCGCCGCAATTAAATCCTTATTTCAACTGGAATATTTTTTATTTATACTAAACACAAATTCATCTGACTACATTTTTTTTATATATTCAAACTATGAATATTTTTTTAAAATATCTTTAACTGTATCAAGATGCTTTACTAATAACATCGTATCAAAAACAAATTCGTTAAGACGATATTTTCATAGTACCTTGAAAATCTTGGAAAAATATTCCGGTGATATAAACTCATGATCGAAATGCATTATTTGTTTAAATATATGCATCTTGCCTTATTTTCTCTCCAAATGTTACAGGATAAAACATGTTCAACGTTGTTGATACATTTTAATTTGATACTTTTACACAAACAAATTATAATGTTTATTGTTTTGTAACAAATTTCCGCATAGATTTGTGAGTTAATGAATATCCAAAATGCAGCATTTTAATCAAGAGAAAGAAGGATGTGGACGAGAGTATAGCACTCTGATAACAACCACACCCTTTCATTCATAAAAGTCATTCAAGCTAATCATTGCAGCTTTATTATGAAATATCCACTTTGAGTACATATATTCGAAACAAAATGAAGATACAAAGCTGTATAAGTTTACTAAGATGTTACGAATTTTTATTGGATTGCTTTTTATTGAATAGATATTTCATCAGTTGTTCAATCGATTTACTCATCAGCATTAACAGAAAATCATTCAATGTATTCGCATACTGGCTGCGATCTTTTGACCTACTATGAAGCAATACAAATTAATATAAATGAGAGTGGCTATTATACTTTTGCTAGCAACAGCAGTATTGATATCTCTGGCATTATGTACAAAGATGATTTCAATCCATCCAATACATTAAAAAATTTGATCATAAGAGATGATAACAGTTGCCAAAACAATCAGTTCAGATTGACAGTTTACCTTGAGATCAATACTAAATACATATTGATTGTGACAACCAATACTCCAAACGTGACTGGATCATTCTCGATCGTTGTATCTTGTTTCAGCAACATCACTTTCAAACATCTAAGTAAGTATCTATACTATTTGTAAAAATCAGTTTCAAAAAGAGAAATTATAGAAAATGTATGTTAAACTCAACCTGATTTCCGAATACACTAAAGATCTTCGAAAGCTCATTATCAATACAACTATAGATTAATATTTACCAGGGCCATTGTTCACAATTTAGTTTCAATGCATTAATGATAAATGATACTTAGAAAAGTTTAGAAAAACTCATAAAATTTAAACTTTATTTTAATTATTCAAGCAAAATTGAAAATCTCCTGAGTTTTCGTTAAATCTCAAAATTTCTGAAAGAGCGTTCGATTTCATTAACAGTTTGTAAAAGTTTTTTCAGATTCCATACCACGTCTATCCTTTTAGAGTACCCAAGACTAATTTTCACTCCCAACATTGATTACAGAAGACAGAGAAGAGCTGTCAGCTGGATCAACAGAAATTCCTTGAAGTCTGAAAAGAACTATTTCATATAAAGTTAAACGATCGATTCATTGAATGCAAGATTTGATTTTTAAGAAAAATATTTGTTGATAAAAGTTTTCTTAAGTGGTACAGATTTTCTCAAAAAGTAGAGTTTTGGTAACACAATCATTCATAATATCTTTTGTTGAAGTTTCTTCGTTAACCTTCGATGCGAAATCGTAATTTTAACATTTATTTCATTTGTTCCGTGATACATGCTAATACTACAATATCCATAGATTATCTCGTATTAGATAGATCTTTGCGATCAAAACTTCGCTTGGAAAATATGTATTTGAAAGAAAAACGATATTAAAAAAGTATTTAAATTCATTTACATATCGTATGAATAGAATATTGATTGATTTTTTTTTTGACTAGCTACTTTATCAGTTGTCCAATCTATTTATTCATCAGCACTAACAACGAATAGTGAAAAGTATTCTAAATCTTTTTATGGCGAATCAAACAAATACTATGAGACTATACAAATCGACGTGGCCACAGATGGATTCTATACGATTGCAAGTAACAGCAGTATTAGTACATACGGAAAACTCTACAACAACCGTTTCAATCCATTCAATCCATCTGTAAATTTAATCTCAAAGGATAGTGACGGTTGCACTAATAGACAGTTTCGACTCGAAGTCAATCTTCTAGTCAATGTTAAATACATATTGGTTGTGACAACATTTTTTCAATATGAGTCAGGTGCATTTTCAATCATTGTGTCTGGATCAGCGAACACTAGTATCAAACGTATTAGTAAGTACTCATATTTTTTCGTCATAGTTAGCGCCAACCGTGTTTTCCCATTGTTTTCGAAAATGAAAAAGAGAGTGAAACTGGCAGAAAGCCCACAGTTTTGTCATAAAGTGTCTTTGTATAATCTTCTGGTGGGTCTCAAACAAGAAACACTTAGACTATGTACATGGTACAAGATTTGAACGATAAAGAGTGTTTTCGTTATGCATTCTATCAGATAAATAGTGATAAGAACTCAAAAATCAGGTTTATATTCAAATCTTCCATGAGAGCCTGAACGTTTTACCAGAAGTACCTTAGATTTTGGCAAAAAAGAAAATACCTTAGCAAATTTTCGGCATGGGTCGATCCTTCACAGCCTGTCTGATCGAAAAGCATTTTTGGTACAGAAGTTTACATTCTAAGAAGAACAGACGGACTCAATTTCTATTTTTATGAAGATATGTTGAGAAGTTAGGGAGTAATATTCGAGAAGATCTTTTCGTAATGATTCGAGATTGATACTGCTAGTATGATGCAAATTCAAAAATGATCAGAAATCTATTTGTGTAAAATATCGATTCTACAAAACAAAACCTCCGTGCCTGTTTTTAATGCAGTTAATCACAATATCTTGTTATTTATATTCTTCATTTTATGATGTATTCTGTAGCCTTTTGTGCATTCTTTTCCAATTAGAACTGTTTATCATAGAATTTCGAGAGGGAATCGATGAATTCGCTCAATGACATATCTGCACCTTGAGTGTGTTGGTAAAGATATTGATATGGAAAGATAGAAGACTAACACCTACCGTTGAGATTCGCTCATCCGAGAATATACAGCATTTCATTATTCACTGGATAGATCCGGTGGGCGCTGCCTACCGGAAGTTTTGATTCGATCACTCAAAAAATTGAGCCTGGATAATACCTTGATTCCTTACAAAATTAAGAATTTGACCAAAAGATTTTTCTTCTTGTAAATCACATTTTCATCATCTAAAAAAAATTGGAAACGAGCGGCGACCTGGAATGGTTTTGTTTTTGCAGAAATTCAAATAACCTTTTTACTCTTCTCCATTTTAAGTACGACCATCACGAGCACCTGCTGTTGACATTCATCCGAACGCAAAATGGGTACAAAATCGTATCAATGTGGCTGGAGGAAACGGAGAAGGCGAAAACAGAAGTCAACTGGCTTATCCGCACGGCTTATATGTCGACGATGATGAAACGGTTTATGTCACAGATTGGAATAATGGCCGTGTGATGGAATGGAAATGGTATGCAATGAATGGTCGAGTTGTAGCTGGTGGGAATGAACGAGGAAATGGATCTCATCAGCTGAGTCTTGCAAACGATGTGATTGTCGATAAAGAGGAAGATAATCTCATCATCTGCGATTCTTATAATAACAGAGTGGTTCGTTGGCTTCGTCAAAATCTAACAAATGGAGAAACAATCATGTCGAACATCTCTTGTTGGGGCTTGACAATGGATGAGAGTGGAGTCCTCTATGTCGTCGATGTTAAAAAACATGAAGTGATACAATATTCAAGAGGAGAATCTGAAGGAACAGTCGTTGCAGGTGGTAATGGAAATGGAACGCGTCTCGACCAACTGAATCATCCTAGCTACGTATTTGTCGATCAAAATCATTCAGTATACGTGTCGGATACGAAAAATCATCGTGTGATGAAATGGGAAGAAGGTGCAAAACAAGGTATTGTCGTAGCCGGTGGTCAAGGACAAGGAAATAATCTTACACAATTGTCAGAACCTCAAGGAATTGTTGTCGATCAATTGGGCACTGTTTATGTAGCTGATTATTATAATTCGCGCATTATGCGTTGGCCACAAAGCGCCATACAAGGAAGCGTCATTGCTGGTAGAAGCGATGCAAAAGAAGAGTCAAATCAATTGTATTGTTTCATAGGTTTATCATTCGATCCACGTGGTAATCTCTATGCCGCCGATTCCTGTAATCATCGAGTACAAAAATTTAATATCGAACAGACAAAAAATTAATGATGTTTTATGTATTTGTGTGTAATTGAAAATGATTTGTAGTAAGACTGAGTGTGTTAAAAATAAAAGTTCAAAAGACATTACATAATTAATATCGATTTTTGAAAAAAAGGCGCTTCACGAAAATGATTATAACGTTTGAAGGGAACGTGATAGAGATCTGCGGTTTTCACCGTTGGATAGATCTTGATACGGGACGTACTACTATCGAAAAGCCAAACATTTGTATCGGGTTTACTATAGAACGTTTTGGTTTGTATGATTGAAAAAATCATCATACGGAGAAAATTCGATGAATTTCAACTTTTAATTAGTGCAAATATTAGCCCGGATCAAGATCTACAAATCCACGAAAACCGCAGATTTCTATCTTCTATGGTTCAAAATTTATGAGCATTTTCCTGAAAGGTATATACTACTTTTCCCCCATAGAAAATATCGAAAAATACTTAAAAATCGGCAGTATTTTGAGGTTTTGATCGTCTTAAGTTACTTTTTATGTAAAATAAATATCATATTCGAAATCAGCGTGAAACGTTACACCAACAGCACTATTTTTTATTGTAAAATATTTTTCATCGAAATTTGGCCCTACTCCCCCACAGCCTTTATTTCTTCAGTTTTTCGCTGTGGTCCCCTACAGGTCAATTTTCGATGGAAAATACTTTGCAATAAACAATAGTGTTTTTGATGTAATTTTTCATGCTGATTTCGAATATGATGTTTATTTTGCATAAAAAATAACTTAAGACCATCAAAACCTCAAAATACTACCCATTTTTAAGTATTTTTCAGTGTTTTCTATGGGCGAAAAAGTAGCATATACCTTTCAGGAAAATACTTATAACTTTTGAACCATAACAGATAAAAAGCTGCAGTTTGCGTAGAATTGTAGATCCTGATTCGGGCTATTGTTTGCACTTATTGAAAGTTGAAATTCATCGTGCCTTCCCTCCTTCATAGTTTTCTGAAATTTACGAACAAAAATTCCCTATGTTGAATTCAATCAAACTGCTTGGTTACCCGATAGTAGTACGTCCCGTATCAGGATCTATCCAACGGTGAAAACCGAAGGTCTCTATCACGTTCCCTTCAAACGTTATAATCATTTTCGTGAAGCGCCTTTTTTTCAAAAATCGATATTAGTAATCATTTCATCAGTCTACAAAAATCTACGAAAAACATATAATAATTAAATAGATGCAATCCGAGAGATATATCTCGATAATCACGAACGATTTGTTGAGAAAGATCACGAAACCAGAGAGAGATTCGACCTATCAAGATCATGATTTCTTGAGGATGTGGATGCGGGTAGTCTTTTCCTCCCACTCCCACACCCATAAATTCAACACGGTTCAACAAAAGATTGATGAAATAATACATATTTAATCAATGTGGTCTCATTTTTTTGTTTTGGTTTATGCAGGCTATTGAATCAATCAATAAAAACATTCATCCCAGCTTATCTCCTAATTTGATGAGATAAGTAAGAAATGTTTCTTTCGAATTAAATCTTTATTAGAATTACGTGTAGATATATTTTAATTTTTTGTTTAACATAATACTTCAAATAGAACTTTATAAAAAAAAGACTTATTTATTATCTAGTTAAATAAAGCAGATATATGAAATTATACAACTCTACTATAAGGCGCAGGAACAATTTTCTACATTGATCGTATATGTATACTGTTCCGTTGTATATCACTTATATGCTTTGTGAAAAGTCACGATATTCATTAAAATTGTTTTCCGTACGTAGTTGATTTTCTCTTCATTCAGGTTTTATTTAAACTGCAATTAGAGTTATGGAGTTTGAGATTGTTTACTGTACATCTTGAGGGTGCGGGTATGAGTATTATATTTGTTATACACACCCTCAAAAATCAGAAACTATCTATCGAGTAGAAGAACTTATGTGAATCGCATTACAAATCTACGTAGATGAGATGATAAAGAAATAAGAAATACAACACTTAATAAAAATCACTACGTTTTTGTTCAAATAAATACAATTATATAAATAAAATAATATTTCACGTATTTAAAAAACCACTCGAAATAGACATGACCCAAACCCAAACTCAAATTCAAACCGTTTGGGAGTTTGAGTTTGGGTTTATGAGTTTGGGTTTGGGTATTGAGTTTGAGTTTGGGTTCGGGTTTGGTACCAAAAATCCCAAGCAGTTTGAGTTTGGGTTTATGAGTTTGAGTTTGGGTTTATGAGTTTGAGTTTGGGTATTGAGTTTGGGTTCGGGTTTGGTACCAAAAATCCCAAGCAGTTTGAGTTTGAGTTTGGGTTTGAGTCTACTTTTAACTGCACTCAATTTATTCAAAATAGTTCCTTTTACAGATTAAAAAAAGCACAAACCCAAACTCAAACCCAACTGTTTGGGAGTTTGGGTGCTAAACC